GCTGTCCCGGGCCCAGCCAGGCCCAGCCGGGAGCCACCCCTCCATGGGGCACAGCGCATCCCCGCCACATCAAACCAGGCCCCTTCGAGCTGAGCGGGTCCTCTGAAGTGGGGGATCTTTAGGGAAGGCAAAGGTCCCCGTGAGCTAGCTCTAATTTTGGAGCGACCAGGACGTGCTCAGGTCCACTCTCCTCCCCTGCATCGGCCGGGCTGAGCCTTCACCCGAGCGCCCTGCGCGTGGGTGCCACGTCTCAGCAGATGCTGGTGGGTGCTTCCCAGCCCAAGCCAGACGCCCTCCCCGGCTTTGTGCAGCCAGCCGGAGGGCTGTCTCCCTCGCTGGCTGCAAGATGTTGGTGGAACAGCTGCTTCGATTTGCAAAACGCTGATTGCCAGAATATCTTACATTCCAGGAGGCTGGGGGTGACTATTAGGGTTGCAGAGCTCCGGGGAGTGGAAATTCCTGCGCCCGAGCCAGCCCCGGGAGTTGCTGGAGTTATATTCGCCCTCGTCCTGCCTGCGCCAGGGCTGCAGCAACCCCCCGAATGCCTTCGGCTCTGACACACGCGTCCTTGGCCAGACATCGGCACTCTGAAGTTGCCGTTTCACAACTGACAGACCCGGGGAGATTAATGAAACATTCCCAAAAGGAGGGAGCGATGGGGAAAACGCCACGGCACAATGGAGGCGTCTGCAATTGTAACAGCCCTCCGGATTGTCTGTAAACTAGGCCACTTCCCCTGCTCTTCCTTATCCTTGAATCACCTCAGTCAGCGCCTGAGAGTAAACATGGAATTGTGTCCCTGCCCATAACCGCCTTCCGCTCCTGTCTTACAGGCAGCCTTTCTGTGCCGTAAGGTGTCCGTGCCACGTTAGGAGCCGGGCAGCTCTGTAAACACAGATAGCCGCCCTGCCTCACGGCTACGGCGTGCGGTGGGGAGGCAGGAGACTCGGTTCCGGGCTCTGACGAAGCTGTGTGACCTTGGTGCTGTGCCACACGCCCCCGCTGCCTCCTCTTTCTGTGGTCTGCTTCGCCGAGGGTTGTGGTGTGCTCTCCCCGCACCCCGGCGAGGCAGCGAACTTGTGCCGTCCCTGTTTTTCAGAGAGGGAAAAGAGGAACGAGGGTATGGAGTGATTTTCCCAAGGTCACACAGAGGTAGCAGCAGCATCACCACCAGCTCTGTGTCCCCAGCTCTACCCGACAATGTGGCCACAAGGCCACCAAGGCGTGCAAGCCAAGAGTCATTGGAAAAGCCCGTGGAGAGGAAACCGTCCCCAGCAGGGTCAGGCAGGGATGGAGGCTTGGCGGTCCCTCCCCTTTCGACCCAGAGCTCATGCACGCGGGTTTAAAATAATGCCTGTTGTGAAAGTTAAAGCTGCTGCTCCCGGGAGAGGAACGGTGCAAATTCTCCCCTGCTGATGCAGCGGCGAGGGCTGGCGAGTGAGCGGCAGAGCATGGACCCCGCTCTGAAAGGGGGGTTTGGCCAGTCAGGACCATTTTTTGGCAAGGTGATGCCCGGGTGAGCGAGAAGGGGAAGCAGGACCAGGACAAGCTGAGAAATAACCTCCACACGAACGCTCTTTGATAGCCCTCAGCATCCCACCAGCTCCGCATGGGTAAAGCCCTCCAGCTCACTCCTGCTGCTGCCCGCTCGAGAGGGTCCCTGAGAAAACATTCAGGACGGTTGGCGAGTCAGAAATACAATTTAATTTTGCCACAGCGCTTGCTCTGGCGGCGGGATGGCCTGCCCTGCCCAGCCTGCGTGGTCCGAGGTGCCAGCAGCCCTCTCCTCGTTAGGCAGAGGTAACGAAGAGGGAGGTGAACTGTGCCGATCTCGGTGGCGCAGGGCTGCTGTTAAGGGCTGTAAGAGCAGCAGGGCGATGCTGCGTAACGACGATGAAAGACCCCAAAATAGGCCACGGCCCCTGTGACTTGCTAGGGCAAACAGCGTCCCTGCAAGGTGCCTGCCTGTAGAGCAACTCCAGTCGGGTTTATTTCTGTGAGGTGGAGGGGAAAGACAGCACGCTGCTCAGGCAGAGGTAAAACTTCACCCTCCAGCACAGCTCTGGGCCCCGGCCAGCTCTCAGCCTTCGCAGAACCTGGACTGGCCTCCAATCTCCGAGCCCCTTAACAGCTCCTCCACCTCCGTTGCCCAAAAAGGGGCCAAAAGCACCTGGCCGGGTTCTGGTCGCTGCTCAGCTTTAAAGCAGCTCAGTGCTCTTGCGCCTCTCCTGCGTGTCCTCACACCCTGAGCCACTCTGCAAACCAGGCTCCTCTTCCTCTGCTGAGGTGGGTCTCCATCCTCACCTCCTCCCAGGCAGCCCCACCAGCTGCAGGGGGAGGAAGGAGAGCAAAGCGAAGGGTGACAGCCGGACTGCAGATGCTCTTTCCCGACCTGTATCTCGCCGGGCACGCTCACCTCCTCCTCCGAGCCAGGGGAACTGAGCTCACCTGAAGTCTGGCAGCTTCAAAAGCAGAAGCGAGCAATAGGCTCGGCACGCACGTGGAAGCAGCGATCGGTCTTGACAGCTATTTGGAGATGGCAAACCAACCCACTCCAGCCCCTTCCCGTCTCACGGAGGCCACGGAGATTCCTGGCCAGCTGACGGATGGCGTAAGCACTTTATTGATTTCTGCGTTCAGCGTAGGAGAGATTTAATTGAAATATGGAGGTTTCTAACCTCAGCGTCAGCCTCTCAGCAGGGATGTTGCTGGGCAAAGCAGCCAAGGTTGTGCCATCCTCTTCCAAATGCCGTCTCCTGCTGGGAACATACACGTGGAAAACGGGAGATCCCTCCCAGAGAGGGACGCGCTCGCACACATAAACCACGCACAGGCACCGTGGCAGGATCCAAAAGCAGCCTTCGTGGAGTGGTACCCATGGACTGGTACTGAATGTGGCCTCATCCTTTTGGCATTTATTGTTAAATAAACCCCTCCTGGTTTATACAGCACCCAGAGGCCAAATTAAGGCCTGATTCAAGTATAATTCAGTCAAAAGCAGAAAGGTATTGAGCAGCGAAGCACGCAAATCTTTATGTGTGCAGAGCTGGGTTGGGACCAGCCAGCAAACTCCCGGGAGAGGTATGGGTACTGGCATCCAGCAGCTGGCCGGGAAACTCCCGGGCTCTGCCTCTGACAGATTTCTCTCTTATTTCTCTAATATTACATAGGCGTGGGCTGAGAAGAGCTAGAAAAGACCATGGTACCCAGTCCTCCCCGGACATTCGGGTCCTGGATAAAACATGCCACAGCAATGACTCTGCTCTGGGTTGGCAGCGTTAAAACCTAAGGCACGGCATTGGCGAGACCTGAGCGAATCCTGCCCGGCTTCAGGACTCAGAGAGTCGGAGGTTTGGCAGCACGGGACATTCTCCAAAGTAGAAAACCCCCTTCCTCCTGCCCTAAGGAATTCGCGATAGCTGGGCTGGATACAGCGAGCATCTCCGTGCTCTCTGAAAGGGCTCCTTCCTCCTTGACAGCATTTCCACCCGTACATTTGGGCACCCACTCACCGAGGAATCGGCGATAGGGCCGGGGGGAGTGAGAGGGGGCTGGCCTATTAATATCCCGCTTGTACAGGGGAGTGGGCGGTCAGCAGGAAATAATTGCCTCTTTCCAAGACTGAGGAACCACCGGTTGGTCTTTCTGCTCTTTGAAATTCTCAGAGCTTAGCAAATAGCCCCGCTTCCCATGCGGCCGGGAGCGGGGTGGCAGCGGTGGGCCCTGCTCCCTCCCACTCCCCTGCAGGTTCTCCCTTCATTAAAACACTCGGGGAAGCTGACAGGCGCGCCAGCCCTTCCTACATACCCCATAAAGCTGACAAGCAATTATGTCCACTGAAGGGAGCCATGCTGGGAGAGCACAGAAAGGCTCAGAAAGGCAGGGAAAGCAGGTCTTTTTGTCCCCACGCCCAGGGAGCAGGCAGCAGTGCTTCGCGGAGAACATCACACGGGACCTTACGGGATGCTCCTTCCCCTTGCAGGTCGTGTCCTTCCATCTCCCACATCCGCAGGGAAGGTTGCGGTGCAGGAACAAAGAGCTACTGGGATTTAAGGCCGACATTCACTGCTTCCCGCAGGAAAGGGCACGCAGCTTGCAGGTGGATAGCACTGAACGAGCCGCTTCGGAGCCTCGGCAGGCACTCTGCTCGCTGGACCACGTCCTAGGGGCTCTGAAGCAGCTGATTCTTTCACAGCAGGAAAGGAGCTGCTCGTGGGAGAGGAGCTAACTGAATTGGAAAATGCCGTGACTACAGGGTAGCCTTGCCCATGGAGGAAGCAACTGCACTTCACTCCAGGCACTTCCAAGTGGCTGGAGTTTCCAGGACAGTTGAATTCAGGAGGAGCAGATTTGGGGGGGGAGGCTGGGGAGATAAATCCAGGAACAGGCTCTCATTCCAAACCTATAGCCTGACCACAGGACTCGGCTGGCAGAGGTGACCTCCAAGGGTGTGGTATTTCCACAGATTCTTCCTTTTACTCTAAGCAATAATTCCTCCAGCATGGCCGAAGGCAGCAAGCTGGCTCTCAGCCCCAGCCCCACCGTAAGAGCTCATGGCAGAAGTTGCAGATTGAGAGTGGATTCAAAAGATGGAGACACAACAGGAAGGAGAGGGACCACGGCAGGGGAGCCAGGAGCTCTGAGCATCTCCCAGTGATGTTATTGTGGCCCAGGTACCTCCCTGATCCTAGAGGTGCCAGGCAAGACATCCTGGTGTCTCGGACACCCCCTTGCCCTCGATCAGCAGCCCCCCTTTCGCAGGTGTTAGCAGCAGTGGGATGGAGACAAACCTTCTTCACTCTCATTTTCCCTCCCCATCCCATCCACGCTACAGCTCCGATGGTGAAGTCAACATAAGGGGCAGGCGGGTGGTTTCCTCTTCCTTGTGCCAGCAGCCGCTGTGTCGACAATGAAAAGCCAGGGAGCGATCAGCCCAAAGCTGTGAAGTGTGGGTTGGTTTTTTTTCTCTCTCTCAAATAAAAGCCCATTAATAATCAGCAAAGCGTTTAATGAGAGGCTAGAAGGAGTTCTCAGCATTAAGAGGGGATTAAGGGTAATCTTCATAGCTCATGCCTCCTTGCTGTGTGGAGGCGGTTCTGACCTGCTCTTGCCAAAAGGGCCCAAGGTGGGTAGGAGTGAGGCAGGGCTGGGACACACAGCCCTGGGGGATGTAGGGCTGCGACTCACCTGATGAAGGGTCCCTGTGGGAAGGAAACAAGACATGGTTTAAGCACGATCAGTTTTGAAGCAGCCACTCACATTTAAAAATCATCACGATTTCCTCTTAATTAATCAGGGCTCCCCCTTAAGGAGGGGGCTGCAAGTTCCGCTGACATGAAAACGAGAGCAACTTTTCATCCTAACACACAGCTCTAATTCAAATTTGGCCAAACAGATCCTCTGCCGGTTTGCAACGTGTGATTTGCTCCGGCAGGCATCACAGCCTCTGCGCTGGGATGAAGCTAAACTGTTAAACCAGAAATTTTGTATCATATGGGTCCCTTACAGACCAGACAGGGCACGTGCTGTCCTCAGCGTCTCTGGAGCGAACATGCACGAGGAAGGTTTGATGCACAGCATGTTCCTTGCTATCTCGCCCGCAGAGGGGAAGGAACAGCCCCTGGGGCCATCCCACCTTCTGTGCTTGCTCCCAGAACACCAGCGGCTTCCCTGGCCACCACAGGCACAGAAGCAAAGTTTCCAGGAGTTGCGTATGACTCTGGAAGGAACCAAACGTTTGGATTTGGTACCTCAAGGCCCTGCTAGAGATGCTGACCCCCTACAGCCAGCTGGGAAACAGAAAGTACATCTTCTCCACCCGACCTCAGTCGGGCTGGCACTACAAAGAGCGGCAACTGGCCCAGGGAGCCAAAAGCGGTGTGGAATATCTTGGAACAGTGATTAGATTTTAGAAAGTCATGATCTCATCATTATCTCCTCTCCTGGGAGCGGGGAGAAAAGCATCCTCACGGATTAAAATTTCGGTTCCAAATTTTTCATTCAGCTCTGGGAGCAGGAAACTAATTTTCCTGGCTTTGTGTTTCTGTCAAACGCCGTGCTTAATTCTCTTTTCATATCGCTTTTATACTGGTTTGATACCACTGATTTATGTGCAGCTACTCCTAATCTGTGGTAGTGAAAGGAAAGGCACACTCGGATCTGCTGTCCTAGATTTCACTGTATTATCTGCTGACTCCAACTACCCCATCTCCCTCTCAGGTATTATTATGAAGGGGGTTTTCTAGAGTGCTCTCGACCATCCAGACCAGGTGAATTCTCCCCTGCCTACCTTCAGAGTCCTGCTTTGCAGGCTCCGAGCCCTGGGTTGCAGCTTTGCCGAGTGCTTCCCTTCTGCCTCACAGCCGTCCACCCTCTCTCACCAATTCCCAGAGAGGTTCTTTGCTCTTCTTCTCCAGCTCTGTTAGGTCTTTTTGACTCCCCCACGTTTTAGGTCATCAGGACACTTAGACACTTTTTATGCTGTGCCTCCCTCAAGGTCATAAATTTTAAAGGGGACACCAAGGGGACAGCACACCAAGTGGGGTGTGCTGTACGTTCCCTTTTCCCAGCCCAAAGCTTTTTCCCTGATCCTCTGCTCTCTGTTCCTGTGGGGTTAATTCATCTCTTTTCAGAGGCCTCCTCAACCTAAGCTGGGTAAATCAGTGGTAGCTCCTAAAAAAAAATTTAGCTCCTAAAAATATCTAGGAAAGACAACATGCCGGGATTTAACTGTACAGCTGCACTTTGAGAAGGGCGAAGTGCCTGGCTGCAGCTGGAGACTGTTTTGTCTCCCATCTCTCAACTCCGTCATGTCCTCCGTATGTTCTAGCAAATTCATCAGGCATGACTCACAGACCTTGCCTGTACGCATTCCCATCTGCTGACTGCCCCTTCCTAAAATTAGACCCTGCTCTTGTTGGCACAGGGGTTCAGTCACGGGGGAAGGTGAGGAGCTGCAGACCCACGTCCCTTCCCTGTGTCACAGCAGGGAGCTGAGTCCAGAAGGGACTGGTGCTCAGGCTGAGGAGGACGATCCGTCTCCCCTGCTCAGCTTGTCCTTGGCCCTGCTGCTGCAGCGGAGGCTGAGGACAGGACAATCATCTACTCCAGAGAGGAAGGACACCTCCCCCTGTGAAATCCTGGAGACCGCAATTGCTTGCTGCTCCTCCTTCTGAAGTCCCAAATTTGTGTGAACTTAGCCACGCACCTTTCAGCGACCTTTTTGTTCACTGAAGGACTCGCTAGAATCAGTCTGGGTCCCAACGGCTTGTCCAGACATCCTATTCCTAAGGGTCTCACTGGTGGATGCAGGTCTCCCATCTGCCAGAAAGAGGAGCTCTGAAGGCTGGACTGTGGGCGTTGTGTGGGGAGGAGAGAAAGGAGTAAGGTCATTGCTCTGCTAAGTGTAGAACAGCACTGACCTTCTGCTGGGGAATTTTGTGCTCCCGTTATTTTCTCTGTTCCCAGGGGAACATTCATCGGGAGTGAAGTCAGTTGTTAGGAGACATTGACACTACAGCTAGAATATTTTCGGCCACATTCAGGCGGCTGGGACTGACTATAAATCCAACAAGTGTTACTGGAGACGTGCACACGTGCATCCTTCTTTTACTGTAGGCCTCAGCCCCAGAAGGGCAGTGTTGTGCAACGGTTACAAAGCAATAAGTATTATTCTTTGATGAGAGTAAAAAAAAAAAAAAAGACTCCTCACCCTACTGACCTCCTGGGGTAGTCGGAGTCCTAGCAGTCTCGTTAGCATTTACTGCCTTTGGGTTCGGGGCACAAGCTGGAGATTGTGAATTAAATTTGACCAGAGGAGAGGGAACAGGAGTCCAACCTGCTGCACAGAGCACTGGAAGGACTGTACCAAGCCTGCAAGGTAAAACCTTCCCCCCAGGATGCCGAGAAGGGCTTTGCACCGTGCAGCTCCCTTGGGAAGAGGCTCCTGGTGAGGTTGTGCAGGAGCCCAGCTGGTACCTCACAGCCCAGCTCACTTTGGCAAGGCTGGCAGCTACGCAGATCCACCCTGCAGCTGGAAACTCAGCTCCACTCTGGAGTTGGGAATAAAGACGGAGCCTCAGGCTGCTGCTTTCATGGCCTGCCCTTTTCACATTACAGTGGTCCACCGGTGCTGTTGCAGCATGTTCTGTCCTGTTAGCTGTAAGCAGAGAGTTGCCAGATGTCCTCCAACCATCTGAGACAGCCCATCAGCCGCAAAACACATATAAAAAATTTTCTGTCAAACTAACAGGGAAAAGCAAAAGAAACGCTCCCATTTACTACTCCTGAATTTCAAACCTCCAGAGTGCTCATCAAAGCATTCAGTTTTCATACTTCCAAGGCAGATTTTGCATTTCCTCCCAGCTGCCACTGTCAGACTGTAATGGGAAACAACAGAGAAAACGTGGTATGTGGCTGGGAAGGATGAGATGAATGAGCTACTCGGCGGTCTGCTGTGTTGTCAAAAGAAACTCTTTCCAAGGGTCAGTTATTTCACACATGTCTAATACAACTCATTCTCAGCAGAGATCTCCTAGAACCTCACTGGTAATTAAGACACGGAGTACTTGCAATTTCCAGGTCCCATATCCAGAACCATGTACAGGAAGGACCGTGAACAAGGTCCTTTCCCACTCCCTTCCTTACCCTTTGCTCTGTCTCCTGCCTGCGGCTGTGACTTTGCCTCTGTAAAGGCTCTGCTCTCCCTCCCTGCAGACAGCCCGTCGGCTCCAGTAAATGTCACAGTCAAACACCTGAAAGCCAACTCAGCCGTTGTGACTTGGGATGTTCTGGAAGATGAAGTTGTCATTGGATTTGCAATTTCCCAACAGGTACGGTGCCGACAGTTACCCAGTTTCGGTCATGTTCATCTTCACCCCAGGTCCCCTCAGTTTCCAAATTCTCTTGCTGCAGTTTAAGCCCATTCCTTCTCGTCCTGTCCCTCGTGGTCTGGGAGGGGACTTGGCTTCCCGTCCTCTTTGCAGCAGCGCTTCTTTTATCGGTAGCTGCAGAGAGGAAAGGGTCCGACGGTCTCCGCGTCCGTGGTGGACAGGGCAGGAAGCAGTGGTCTTAGATGACAGCAGTGCACACGGGAGGCCTCTCCACCACTCTGTGCTCTCCTCTCTCGGCTTCCAGAAGAAGGACGTGCGGATGCTGCGCTTCATCCAGGAGGTGAACACCACCACCCGCTCCTGTGCCCTCTGGGACCTAGAGGAGGACACTGAGTACATTGTGCATGTCCAGTCCATCAGCATCCAAGGCCAGAGCCCTGCCAGTGAGCCAGTCCTCTTCAAGACCCCCAGGGAAGCTGAGAAACTAGCCTCTAAAAATAAAGGCAAGTGTGGGTGAGTTCCTATGTGGCCCCTGGGACGCCCAGCCAGCGTAGGGCTCTGCAGAGAGGAAAAGCAGTATCCCGTACAATGAGAACAGCTGGGTTAAACGCACACAGGGCTGAGTGCCCTCTCCCAGCCCCACGTGGACAAGCGGGATGCCCTGAGTGTACCCAGCAGACAAGGCTGACGGGTGCACAAAGCGATAGGGAGATGCTGCCGAAGGCCGGCTGTTCATTTCTCCCGTTTCAGATGAGATTTAATAGGCAAAGTGAGGAGGAAAAGGTTTCCAGTCTGGGAGCTGTGTGTCCAGCAACCTTGCAAGTGGAGAATGCCAGGGGAAATTCCTAAGCAGGCTGTGAACTCTTGTGGAAATAGACCCCTGGATGGCACTGGGCACAACGCCACTGTGCTCACAGGGCACTCGGGGGGATTCGCTGAGCCTCCTGTGCTTGGATTCCAGGACAGCAGGGGGAAATACACCCAGAGACTGCCGCTTTTCTTACATTTCAAATGTTTCTGCCAAATCACAGAATCACAGAAAGTTGAGGTGGGAAGGGACCTCTTGAGATCACCTAGTCCAAACCCCTCCTCAGGCAGGGTCAACTAGAGCAGGTTGTCCAGGATCATGTCCAGTTGGGTTTTGAATATCTCCGCGGAGGAAATCAGGCACTTCCTCACTGGCAGCTCCTTCACTTGTTCCTCTTAAGCCAAACCAGATTGTTGAAGGTTTTCTGTCAGCAAGAATCTCTGCTACAAAAAGGGCTAGGGAGTACAGGGGTCTGGGATATAAAGGGTTACTGCCTGCCTACTGAGGACCCAGCCTGTTGCAGGGCTTTTGGCCATGGTTCCTAGGATGCTGTGAGTTCGTGACTCTTTCTGCTAAAATGATTTGGTGTCTGTAAATACTGAATTGCTGTTCATCTGAAAGCACTAAGAGGAGCACTGCTTCCCTCCTTGGAGGCCTGAACTGTAATCTTCTTAGTGCTTTGAAGCCAAGGAGGCGCATTACGCCCTGCAAAAAGGCTCTACTCATTTCTGAATCCCATGGCTCCACTGAAAAATATCATGCCAGGCTCCACGCTCCTGAGCTGGGAGAGGAACTGCTGAAGCATGCAAGGCTTTGTGACAGGCGCAGACGGCACTAACAGAGACCAGAGACAGAGCAGAGGGAGCCGCGACGGGGCCAGATAACACCTGGACTTACCCCATGGCAGCTCCTCTGTGGTAACTGCCTGTTGATCCCGTCTCACTGCCCCTCCCTCGCCCCATCTCCTGCAGAGCAGCTGATGCTCTGCAAGTTCAAAGCGCAGCTCGTGCTGCTGGCTTGACTGACAGGCGAGGACTCTCTCCCTGCTAGCTTTGACCCTGACGCACCGATGATTTGAGTCAAGGGCACTGTTAAAGCAGTGTCTAGTGCAGCCGGAGCCGTGCGGTTAGGTTTCATGATCTCTCTTTCCCCTTGTGCAGATGAGGTGACAATGAAGGAGATGGCGAAGAAAAACCAACAGCTGCGAGCGGGGGAAATTCTCATCATTGTTGTGGTGTTGTTTATGTGGGCAGGTCAGTTCAATCTTTCTGTCCAAAGCACGTAATATCCCTAGGGCCTGCTGGCTTGCTTGGTTTGCACGTGTAATCATGTAAGACCTGAAAAGAAACCCTTCCTCCCGTAAAGAGTACCGTATACTCAGCTGTAAGGGCACCTCAGTTCCCTCTGCAGCATCACAAGTCGGGCAGTGCCAAAAGCAGGTGAATCAGTGGTCTGATCTGCTCCAGCAGGAAGTAGATAATGGACCTGATGAACCAATTGCCTAATTCCCCATGGCTAATCCTGTAATCTCAATTTTTCCAGCATGCACTGATGATAATGCCCTCAGCCATCCAACAGGATGCCTCGAGCCCTTCAAATGATACAGGTCACTGTAATTATCTGGCTATTATATGACTCCAACTCTCATGCAAAACAGAAATTTAAGAGTCTTGCTCTCAACACCCACTATTATATATACACTAATACCCACTTCAAAATCAATTAAAATAATGGAAGCATTAAAAGAACAAATGGCCCCAAACATCAAAACACCAATAAACCCAGATCCTCGCAACATCTGCTATTAAAATACAAAGAAAGAGTATTTAATACAAAGAGGAGAGACATTAGCAGAAACATATTAAGCGAAAGGAAGGAAAAGTCTACATGAGCTTGGGACGGTGGGACGAGGAAGGACTAGCATTAGCTGAAAGCTGATATCCAAAAGGGTGCTTTGGACCCAAACTCTTGGCAATCTCTTGAAATTCCATGCTAGCCCTCATAGAATCATTAAGGTTGGAAGAGACCTCTAAGATCATCGAGTCCAACCGTCAACCCAACACCACCATGCCCACTAAACCATGTCCCTCCTTACACCCTGCAGCCACTAATCCTTTTAATCCAAGCGGAGGCTCTGCTACAAGACAGCTACTGTAGTATATGATTTTATAAGCAAGACCACATGCCCAGCTGCAGCTGAGAGCAGCCAGTGCTGCGGGAGGTGCAGTAAAGCCATCCTAGAGCCACTTTGCTGTGGGATGCAATGGGCATAGCTAGGCACATACATTAACACAGCCTCTAACAGAGCATCAGACAAATGTGCTCCTTCAATATGAAGATCCCTCCCTATGACTTTCTGTAATATGTACAAATATATAAATTAAATTCCCAAAGAGAACCAAGAGTTTTCCGACATGAGTTTGGGACCACATTTCAATAGAGCTTATAGCAAATTGTACCTAGGACAGATCTCGCTCATATGTTTTAAACTAGCAAATAGGGAGAGGAAAATGCCTCTGACTCCTGCTCCATCAGCTTAGCATGTCTGAAGTGGCTGCAGCCAGCCCTTCAGCTTGTTCAGTTTGGAAATTACATGCATGAGTTAACGGGAAATAAAGTTTGCACAAGTTTGTCTTCTATTTAGAGCCCCAGCCTCCCCTGGCTGCCAGTCAGCCGCTGCTCCTGCTGCAACGTAAAACATTAATGAAACAACACTTGCTCCCTGCAAGTCACAGAGCACGCTGCCCAAGGGGGAATGGTTCAGGTGACCCAAGGAAATTGGCAGGCCAGGAAATTAGCGCTATGGTAAACCTACGATCCATAAAAGACAACCTTTGCCACTCGGTATTTAGTCCTCTTGTCCCAGGCAAACCACTTTTCCACACTCAGAGTGTGTCAACAGTCACACAGAGAATTTTCCTCGGTCAGAAGAGAAACCCGCCACGATAGTACTGAGTGGCTGATGACTTTGACAACTTGTAGTTTCAGTGGTGAGCATAACGTTATGTCCTTTAAAGACGGTGGTCTGTCATCTCTGCTGCTGTAAACTGTAACAATCCTGAACTGATAGGGGTTGCATCAGTTTACTCCAACAGAGGACCTGGCCCATTTATACTAGATTCTGCTGAGATGAGATACCTCCAGGGAGAGATGCGAAGAAGAAACCAGTCACTGATCTGAGATCTGTCACAAAAGAGGGGGATTAGAGGGATTAACTGTGTCCTGTACGGTTCTGCAAGGTTTCTTACAAGTGAATCCAGGTGACACAGAATCAGATCCACGTATAGTATTTTTTTGCCCTGGAAAGTCCTGAGTTTACCATGTATTATTTGCATTTCCAGAGACCGGACAGCAATTATTGCTAAAGATGATAACCAAATGAAAATCTAAACTAAATCACAAGGCTTCCAAAACCTCTAGTCCATGATCTTTTCAGCATTTATGTCAAGTTTTAGTCATGCACATTGAAATTTAAATGCCCTGCCAGTAAAAACAATCATGAATAATTACATGAAGCGACTGAACAAGTGATTCATCTCCCACTGTAGTATAATCTAAAACTCAGATCAGCATCTGAACAAAGAATTTGCTAAAACCGCAACTTTCCTTCTAGACAGACAACTTACCTTTAAAAAGGAAAGTGGGTGGAGGGAAAAATCTCTCTACATCTAGTGGGTTCTTTACAGAAAGTCTCAATATATGGCCCTTAACCTTGCCTGGCCATAACCTGAATGTATGAGGATGTTTTAGCAAATGTTTTTTTCAGGGTTCTGAACTGAGACAAGACCCAAGCTCTTGTGCTGTCTGTCTTTCTGGTATTGTTCACAGCACTTTGCTTCTCTGTGCCTCAGTTTTACCATCAGAAATCACAGAGGGTGTGACTGTGGCAGATGTTAACCTATTCTCCTAGGATCAGCCGTTTGTTCACATACGCAAGAAAGAATTTGGACCACTGTGTTTATCAGTAATACCTGGGGGCAGCTGTCATAACAACACCTCGCTTTATAAAGCGGTTTGTGATGGTCTGGTGAAAGCTTTACATATGCTTTGCTATTAGGGGAGCTGGAATATTTTTCAGTAAGGGAAAAGCAGCATCTGCCTGGGTCTGCTTAACCTCCGTGTTTGGAATCTGCAGGCAGAGAAGTTATTTGGTCAAAATATCATATAAAAGCTTCTGAGAAAGATATTTGCAGTCTTCTTATGTGCCATGGCTGCCCCTGCTTTTTTCTTCATGTGCCTGTGTGTGTCAGAGGAAATTTCCACTGGCAGCTTTTGCTGCCGTCACTGTTGCATATTTGCAGATGTTGTCCTGCTGCTCAAAAGGCCCTGGCTTGTATCACATGCAAGCAGGTACGGTACCTGCCTCTCATCTGCCAGCTCCAGCTCCTTCTGTTCACCCCAGCGGAGAAAGATCAGAGCACACGTTTTCACTAACCAGAAATTCCAGGAGCTCCTGTGTTTGCAAAGGAAAGATCCCATTTAACCACACAGTTAGTGTTGATCGCTATCCAGACATAGGGCTTAAAACACTTGTCCCATTTAATGACAGGGAAGTTGGAATATAATTAATCTTCTGTCCTTCCGTCTAACTAGTTTAGTATGGAATTAAGCATCGAGAAGGAAACAGCCAGAGGGTTGACTAGCTGTGTTAGAATATGATCCTTAGGAGCAATCGTGAACGCTGCTGAGATCTCTACCAGAAGGCACAAAGCTGGCTGGCAAGCAAGAGATCTCTTGATCTCTGCAGGCTCCAGGGGCTGACTTCATTTGTGTGATCACTAATGCTTTTTCCTGTTAGGGGTGATCGCCCTGTTTTGCAGACAGTACGATATCATCAAAGATAACGAGCCAAATAACAGCAAGGAGAAAGTCAAGAGTGCCTCGGAGAACAGCACTCCCGAGCACCAGAGCGGAGGGCTCCTCCGCAGCAAGGTGAGATGCTGCTGGCACGCAGTGGGGGGACGGGGCAGACAATCAACTTCCAGCTGGGCTTCAGTTAAATTACCAAAAAAGCAGCCTCTGTTAAACATCCTCACTCCAGCCTCCTCCCTCCAGCTGGGATGCAGAAAGGAAATACCCCTTCACATCCACGCATGCCAGTACCACGGCTTCGTTAGTGGTCTGAGCCTCCCAGACGCATCAGGACACCAGCACTTCACTCCCACCTCTGGATTAGCCTGCACATCCATCAGTAAAACAGATTTCAATCCATATGTCTGAAATTTCTGAACATCTCTGGAAGAAAAATGCACTGAGCAATGCTGCAGTCCCTGAGCTGCTTGGGTCCTTACCCCCACGGCAGCCCTTAGGTGGCACGTGGTAAAGGGGCTATTACTCTTCCAATTAACCGAAGAGCTGATCAGCAGGAGCGTGGCTGGTAATACACATGATGTTATAAAGGTATGCCATATCCATAACATAAGACACTCCAGCCTATAATTTATACCAACTTATTTCAATTAATTTAACTTTCTTGTGTTTCTATTCACAACTTGCACTCCGGCACATCCCCACCACTTCACATTTACTTATTATTTGAAATAGTCCACTAATTCATGCTCATTCAGAAGCAGACAGTGATGAACCGTGCAACCCTAAAGCCTCAACTCTGGCCCTTTTTCATCATCCTGAGGGGATGGGAACAAGAACTTTCACAAAACCAAAAACTGACCAGCACACTGCACTGATCTCTGATGTGGGTTTTTTCCCCTCTCTAGCGATTCCTATACATCCTTTCTTCTTTTGTCTCCTCTTCTCTTCTAGTTTCCAAAAAACAAGCCCTCAGTGAATATCATTGAAGCGTGACAGCCTGCCATCTGATAGATGGACTCCATTCCTCACTCTCACTTTCTGCCTCTGAGCCTTGATGACTAGGGAGGTGAAATATTGTTGGAGCAATTTGGAAAGAGACCTAGTGATTGTCACTTGCTGGCATACACCTCCTTGTCTGTGTTCTGCAAAACATCTGGCCAGAAAGAAAAATCCTGCAAAAAACACCCTGAAACCCAAACAAACAATTAAAATGGAAAAGCATCAGTGAGACAGCTGCTGCCGGTGATCCTGTACTGGACTCATGAATCACCTGGGCTGGAGCAACTTCTCACGCACTCCTCTCCACTCCTCACACTCCGTCTTCTGGAACAATTTTCCTGTCTTTGGAAATGTACAAGGTTTTGTTGTATCTTTATTTTGTCTCACTGTCACTACATCTTGACAGTATTAACGTGAGCTCAGGCATCAGTCACTGTCACTCCTCTCCAAGCAAGAAAGGAGGAAAGCTCATCGCAGACACGACTAGCAACCAGATTTTGGCTGCTGTGTGCTCTCGGCTTGCTTTGTTCCATTGATATGTGTTGTGTAACACGTCTTGCAGGTGGGTTTTTAAAACAAAAAAAAAGAAAAAAGGCATACCCCAGTTTCCATTCCCACTGCGAGAACTTCCCTGGTTGTTCTCCAGTTAGGCTGCAGCACGTCTCCACTGTTGCTGTCTCTCCTATCTCGCACTGGTGCTCTTCATCTCAGATAATCGGGGCACGCCGAACACTGAGGCACAGACCAGTATGAGGGGACACCAGAAGCCGTTTCTTAGCTTCCAGGATAATTTCAACCATTTTCTTCATGGTATTTTCAGCTGGGCCTGTGTCCACCACCAGTGTGATAAAAGGTCCATAAAAATGTAGCCAGTCAGCAAAAAAAAAAAAGAAAAAAAGAAAAAACTCATGATACCGGTTGCTATGCAAGGTCTCCACTGGCAATAGCTATTTATTGCGAAAGGCTCTTGCCTAAGGGACCTTTTTCTGAGGGCTTAAGTTCTTAAATTGCTTCTTTTAGTAGGGTTCCTGTGGGAAGGTCTGGTTCTCCTTACACGTCCTGTCTGCACTATTTTTGTGACGTTGTAATGCCAGGTATCTGCTGGAAGCAGTCCTCCATAAAAAGGATGACGACAAATGGAAAAGGGGTTGGGCTTCTCCTCTCTCTTAAGTGCTTGATGTTTGTAAGCTGACAGGATCCCTGGGATTGCTGGTGCTCTGGAAGCTGGTAGATGCAAGTCCATCACATGGAAAAGATTTACTCTTTGTAGTGTGCCATGGGGTATCTGTATTTATTTAATTACTCCACAAGACCACTCCATACGCACTAGGGGATGAGGCAAGATCCTACTTGTTCCATCAAATACCAAGACAGGTTGGCCTGAGTAGGGTTTGAATCTCGTTACAACAAACCTGCACTCAGATGAGCCTGGTTTAAAAGTCCCTGCAAAGAAACAGGCTGGCAGTAACCAAGTTCAGCCATCTCTCCTCTTCCACTGTCACCAGCCTTTCCAAAATAGTTGATTTGAGAGAAAGGCACTAGTAAGTCTGCCTGCAGATGTGCTGGTGAACAAGCAAGGGCTTCCCTTGTGCCGGTTTCAGAAGGCAGGCCAACTCCAGAGGTCTCTTCAGTGGATCCTTTGCCAGAACACACTCCTCCATCACCAAGAGGGAGAGGTCAACACCTCTGATACAGACAGAGCAATAAACATTTTATAATGTACAATAAAAGATTAAAGGCATCTCTTGTGTCCTTGTAATGTCTGAATTTAGTAATATTTCATTTTTGTCTGCTTCAAGCAAAACACACACAATAGAACAAAGATTTTCTCTCTGTTTCCCAGGAACTATAGCATAAACTGTTTTCTCAATGTCTGGATGTAGAAAACCAGAAAGATTCAGAGTTCACTCTGGTTGCGGGACGAGGGGGAAAAAAAGTTGCAACATAAATACCACTACAGCCATACCTAGCAAGATTCTTCAGACATGTCTGTTATCTCCTAAGAAAGAAATGTCATTTGGAATCCATCCCCCTATAAAGGGAGATTTAGGACAGATGGTACAGCATGTGCAAAACGATAAGGGAGATGCTCTCTCGTAATCCTAGAGCAGGCAGCCAAGCAGGCAGCCCTCAGAAGTCTGCTAGTCAGGAAATTTCAGCCTGGTAATTTGGCAGGTTTGGGGGGTGGGAGGTTGTGTGTCTGTTTTTAAAGACAGTTGTCCCTGGGAATTCAGACCACATCCCCTTTTTTACAGTAACTGTTGTTGTTCCCTAGTGACAGGTTTAAACTATTTCTTTCCTAACAGAGATGTGCTCACTCCTTGTTTGGTAGAAAAGAATGAAAATGTAAAGCGTCAGTGTTTGCGCAGAGTTAAGTATTCACACCATCATGTGGCAGGAGGTAAAAGGGTTAACATTATGTTCCATAACTGCAGGCTTTAAAAGTAAGGTAATAACACTATTAGTGAGAAGAAACAAATGTAGGCTGGCAGCAACTCAACTCATCAGAGAGGGACTCCAAGCTATCCAGTTCAAGTGATTCTCTTAAGGGAAATGTTTTCAGCAACTCTGAATTGAAGTGATGTAATAAGTCCACACTTTAGGAAAAAGTGTTTCCCGTTATAGGCGAAGAAAGTTACTTAAGATCCTACTTTTCTGAGGGTCACAGACACCAAAGCTTTAACTGCGCTTTTGCTATCAACTTCCACTGTAACCCTTGACAGTCAGATACCATTAAGGCTCTGGGCCTGTGTGACTTCAAGCCTAAGCCCATTAGAAGAGATACCTCATTCTCGTCAACAGCTGCCAAAAGATACTCCCGAGGTGTTTTACTGTCAATAAAGGGAAGAGATCAAGAAAAAAAAAAACCAAGACAGCGCTGAGGAAAGTCTTGTTGGGCCACAGAAGAACGCACCCTGAAGGCCACCCACACTTCCCTGCATGTTTTTGCCTGACTGCTGATTTTGAGTGGTTACGGGAAGCAGTGGCTAGGAAAGGGAGGCTTCAATGAATACTAAAAAGCAGCAAGTGGGAGTGGGCTGGCGTGACAGGGATCCCAGAGAGCCCTGCAAGAACCGTTGATCTCAAAAGCAAAGGAAAGCAGTCCTCCAGCCGGCTCCGCCAATGCTGTGCAGCCCCTGAGGACTAACCCCGTTGATTTCCAAGAATCAACTGAGCAGAGACTATGGGCACAGGAAGCAGCGAGAAGCTGAAAACAGAACCCTTTGCCAATATACGCAGTGCGTTTAGAGTTAAGCACCACTTGCCTCCATCCTTTCAAGCACTGTAATATTATGCCTGCAAGTACAATTTAGCCAATATATTCCTCCCCCACGAGTTTAGTAAAATGGAGCCGCAGGAGGCGGTGTGGAGCAAACAATCCTGCACAGCATGTCCTTCCAATTCACAACACACAGCGCCATACACTTCTCACCACCTCCCTCTGTACAACAAGCAGCAGCACAAGCTCTGTTCCCTGTCTCCTCGGAGGAAAATGAGAACATTAGGCATTTTATTCCCCGACAGTTCAATAGCATCAGAGAAGGAAACACCTACACAACAGAAAGTGTTAGTATAATCTCAGCTGGTAATGACTTTCTGGAAGAGATGTAAATGGAGAGGAACAGACTGCTAATGCCAGTATTTGCCAAAGACATTAAAGGTTACACCACTCAAAAGCCTATGTCACAGCTGCACATCCATTTTGCTGATAAAAATATGGCAATTCATTGACTGAGTAGTCAGACTTCACTTCCCAAGGAGAGAGTTGAAGATTATACCATATGTTATACCAAATGTAATTTCCCCAGATTTGCAGAAAAGCTTCCTAACTACATGTAATGAGCTATTACTGGCTAGCCTGGAAGCAGAAGCCTAGCTGACCAAATTCAATCAGCTTTCTAGCATTTGTTAAAAAGCTGTATGATCAACGTGCTTGTTATGCTAAAATATCTTCTGTTTCCTCCACAAATCTGCTATCTATTAAATCCTCTGATGACCTTATAGATTGATTATGTTCCTACTTGTTAGTGCTTTAGCCCACATATCTCAACGAAAGCGAGCTGGATTCTCTTTCAGCTCATGCATCTGCAACAATTTTGTTTAACTAAGTTCCAAATGAAGAATCTTTATTATTAGCAACAGAGCCAGGAAAGACACAGCTTGAGTTTTAGATCCCAGATGGAGTCAGCAAAGTTGGCAGCCAGAAAAGCCATCTTTTTGCTTGCGATCTGAACACACTGGATGCGGAGTCACTGAGTGGCAACAATGACATAGCCCCACGATGCCATTTGACACTTTCCAGCACATCGCTGTCCTTTTGAACTGACAAAAACCCCCTCATTTAGTGCCACCAACTGCTAAACATAACCTATTTATACTATCCAGACCTGTTCTGCAGAGGATGCAACCAGCATAGTACTAGACATCCTCTCAAACCAAAGGGAGAATATTATCAGCTTCCACTATTTCACATTTCAGGACATAATTTCTTCCTCCCGTTTAGAATTACCTTACAGCACAGAAGTAGGGAAGAGCTGGTTAGCTTTTGAGAAGATGGCAGAAAAAGCCACACAGTAGTTTAATTTTAGTCTCATTGTTTTCTAGCTGCTGCTGTTAGACTGCGATACGTTGATGAATGTTATTAGATTTTTAATTTAAGACATTTCATCGCAGAGCTCACACAGGGCTTGGACAACAGTCTCTTCCAATCTTATCTGATGCTGCTGGATTCTACTACAGCAAAAATCATAAACAGAGCCCTTGGCTACACTCTAGCAGCAAACATGCAGTATGTCCTTCCACGAAGGCTTAATACACAATCTCCCCCTCCCCTTGCAGTATCTCTACTGTTCAGCATATATGAATCACGGTTGCAATGTCAAAGAATGAAATCTTCAACAATAAGGCTGCCCAGAAGCCTAAAGCCTTTACAAAGTGCAGAGCTGCTCCATGGCAGCGTTCATTCACGTGAGAGATTTACATTCACAAAGACCACAAAACACACGTTCAGGAGGAGGCACCCGCTTCTGCCCGAGGTCCTCCAGCACAGGGAAGCTGGTCTTAGACACAGCACACGCACAGACACCATCATCTTGCTGTCATGGTAAGGCGCTGTCTGTTCCGAATAATTTCATTTTCTCAGCATGGCTGAACTGGCAACAGAATGCCTGCTTTAAGAGAAGGCTAATATAAATAACACCCTGACTGCTATGCATCACTTAATAATCATCTCAAAGAGATATATAACAAAATCAAGACAGCTAGCATGGAAAGCTCTGAACGCATAGAAGGTAACACCACAGCATGCACAGCAAAGGGAGCAGATTGCCTGTGGTCTTCCTACCGCTCTGTTCCTGCTCCGTTATATCATTGCTGATCAGCCGTGACCATCGATCACTGGTTGAGACAGAGCTTCACTATCCCAGCAGTATGTGACTGCAACAGCTGCCGCCAGGCCTGCATTACTTCTGGACCTTCAAAGAGCCAGTCTGTTAGCAGTTTAATATCAGATAAACCCTCCAGCAGGCAAGCTAGTCTGTTTTTGCAAGGTGGGGGGGGGAGGGAGAGGCTCTGCAGTCAGACTCCTGCTATCCCACTTGCCTTTTCAAAATGACAAGAACAAGGGAATTTGAAGCAAACTTCTTCCTTCCTTTATTATGCGTATATTAGGAGCAGGTGGACTTTACAGATATGACAACAACCTGGACAGCACACAAACTGCCCTCAGGACCACAAGAAAATTCTTCCTTTTTCGGAGACGTCTCTTCAATTTAATACGTGGGATCCACTGGTTTATAAGACAACAGCCGCCATGTACTAATAACCCCCACACGACCCAATCAACGGCTGCCAAGGGATGTCACCTTCCCTTTCTATGCACAGCTCTCTGCGAGCAAAATTTGCAGTGGTAAAAGTCACAGGAGAGGCTATGCTGGCATTAAGAACGTGTTATTAACTGGAGAAGATCAGTTATTGACAAGAAGCCCTAACACTGGGCATGCACCACCCATGCCTGTACAACCCACCAGAAAAAAAAAAAGACATCCCCCGCCCCGCGAAATTGCTGTATATGGATTACTTCGTTAAGGGAGGCAGTATTATCTAGTTAGTGCAGTCAGGCAATACCAGGCTCTGCTCCAAGCTTCGCTGCTTATCCTTTGGACAAATTACTTCGATTCTCTGCGCCTCAGTCACTGCACATCTAGGACAGTGACAAACTTTGCCTGCCTTTTAAAGCCACTTCTCCTCCTGTCCCGCTCCGGATTTGAAAGGTGCTACGGAAGGGCAAAATAATAAAATATATGAACCACAACATTGAAAAACATTAATACTGTACCTAAATTTTATTTCTTTAAAATCAGGAGCCAAAAGTGTCACCAAAAAAATTCAAATTACTGTAATAAAAATACAGTACAATTTCCTCCATGAATAAACCTAATTTGGTCTCCGAAATCTACCTATAAACGCCTAAAGGGTTCACAAGGCCTGCGCAGGCCCTGCTAGCACCCCTGGGAAGAGCATTTTGCAGAAGATCAACCTATCTGTTTTACAAATCCTCCAAATAATTTAGAGTTTCTGTGCTCTGTTAGGGAAGGAGATGGAGGCAGCACGGAGACCAGTAGTTGCCGTTCGATTGTGTAGCTTAAATGAACACGAGGTCACACTCTTTGGGCACTCCAGAAAGCAGGCAAGTGAAAGAGGAGGGCCTCACAATAACTCAGCAGAAAACTACA